CTGGATCTATCTTCTATTTCTCTAAGCTTACTTTTTACTTTTAATATCTCGCTGTTGTCTTTTAGCTTTGAACTTATCTCTTTTGTTTTTGATTTCACAAGTTCAAACTTTTCTGAAGCAATATCGTCATTGGTTTGAATAAATTTTTTAATTTCAAGTAAATCATTTTCTAAGGAGACAACTTTTTTATTTGTCTCCCTAGAAAATTATGACTATATATAGTTTTAAACTAAATATAGTCATAATTATTGAACGCTAAAATATTTTACTATGAAATTTAAAATTTATCGATGAATATAAGTCTAGTTAAAAATAGTACAAAAACTATTTTATCAACTTGTTGCTCTCACGTTTGGGACATTGTCGGCCAAATTATTGGGGTTTTTTGTTTCCAAGCTCCAATCATCGTAATTTATTGCAAAGCATCCTTATTTGGTATAAACATATAAATGTTTGGAGTTTGTTCCATGACTGAAAGTTAGCTATCTCAAAGACCAAAAAATGTTGGCGCCGCCACTGGATTTAGGTATCCTTAGAAAATATTTTCAAACATTTTTTTTTACTTATGCAAAGTTCCAACCCAAATATAGATTTGAATCTGAATTGGTCTCTGTGAGTTTATATAAAGTATCCAGTAGTCGTAAAGATTATCCAATATATTGCATTATAATATATAATATTTAGGCAGGCTTATAAGCCTGCCAAAAGCCATAATTTTATACAGCTCTCAACTTTCTTTAAACCATTTTTACTTTAAAATTAAAACAATATATAGTTATGTGTATCTTTTGGAAACTTATTAATTCTAAATGTAAGTAAATGTATATTTAAACATTTTGTATTTTTAGATATACATATACATTGTGCGGCCGTGGCGCAGTGGTTAGAGTGCTTGCATTATAAGCAAGAGATCCAGGTTCGAAACGAGATTTGGACATATTTCGCTACACGGTAAGGAAAGAGGCCTGAACTTCTAAGTTAAATGCACTTCCGCGGTGCTCTGTGACAACACTGTTAGGACTTCTTGAGGCACCTAAATAGCAAGTAAAAAAAATAATAATAAACTATTAAACCAAATGTATGTGTGAACCATTAGCAATAAAAAATTAAACCACTAAACCATTATTTAAATTAAACCATTAGTAATGAAAAATTAAACCATTAAAGCAATAATATAAAACCAAAGTAACCTCCAAATAAGCATGTTCATACTAATGCAAATACTATGTTTAACAAAAACCATGGTGTTCCGAGTTTAGGATCAATATTACTTTAAAGCTTGGGCCCCTAGATCCAAATAGAGGTACTGAGAAGAGTGGTAGCGGCAGTATTAGTATTTAAATAACTTTATCAAAAGCGACTCAAATTCGTTTAAAAAAATGAATATTAAGAATCAAAAGTTCTATATTATTGAAGAGACAAAAAAAATGAGCAAAAAACATATATTTTAAAGCATATAAGCCAATTATTCTATACCCCTTATCCATAAAAAATGAAAGTTAAAAAATTGTGGCTTTAAATTGATCGTGGAAAATGAGAATACACAGATATTCTGACGCTTCTTTGTATTGAATTGGTTTCGAGTATGGAGTTTTGGAAACTAATGTCCGTTTAGTTTAAAAGACAAATCTTTTAAGGAGAAATGTTAAAAAATGTTTTGTATGTTAGATATGCAGCACCAATATTTTTTCCAGATTTAACTTAAAACGAGAGTTACTGGAGTAGGTCATTTTAATTTGATGGCATGAAAATCCAGTAAATTAAAAGATTATCGTATCAAATCTGAACGCAATTTTGTCGTACTGTACTTAATAAATGTGACATATGTTCGTTATGAGGAAATTAGTAACAAGATAAATTTAACAAAACATGAAGAAATTGAACTAAACTTGAAATATGTTTGCCTTAATATCAAAAAAAAATCTATCAATGAATTTTATAGTTACACATTAAAAACATTAAAGCATATAAAAAAACAAATATAGGAATTGAGTTTTTTAAATGGGCGGATTTGTTCAAAACGTTTTAAGCGAATTCGCCTTTTTTTAAAATACACTGACTTAAGTCCTAAACTTTAATAACTAAAAATCCAGTAAACATTAAAAAGCGTAAACAATAGCGCTTAGTTTCATCCATTTTTCAATTTTAATTGAACTTAAATAAAATTTATTCAAGTTTTTCAAAATGTAAAAATATAATTATTTCATGGAATCGATCAGTACTTTAGGCGAATTTAAAAAATATGCGTTTGAAAATAATGAAGAAATGTTGTTTAGTAGACAAGTAACAATAAGTTTGTAAATTCTCGAATAAACAAGAAGTTAATTGAATTACTGAATTTAATCTAGTAGTTTATTATATCCGCTCAAGACCGGATTTAAATCATCAATTTACTTTTCACAACAATACAATTAAATTAAAAACTTCCTTTAACTTCGTTTAAAGTATGCATTTTACAGTATATATTTCATGAACGCCGTTACAGTACATATTTTATGAACTGGGTAAATGAATGTTAGAAATTTTTAAGGCGAGAAATAACCAGGGCCGTCAAGTTTTAAACTATAGTTGACAAATTGCAAATTATGAGGACCTTTTTTTTTTTTAAGTATCTCTAGTTGGTAAAAAAGTACATACACCCCCTTCCTCCACGGAAGACCTCTTCGGGAAGACCCTGGAAATAACACAAAAATACCATTTTGACAGAGAAATTGCATCCGCCATAAACTTTTTTCGACAGGACATAAATTCCAGCACTTTAGGTTTTCTGGCCCCTGTTGGCCTTTTAGCATTCAAATTTAACAGCGATTTAAAATAAAAAAATCTTTATAATTGTTGCGCTATGAAAAACAAGCATCACGCGTTATTTGTTATTAAAAACTGGCATATAATTTAAAACACCTTTGGTCTGCATTTTAAGCTAGCAAATGAAGATATGATATCTTTTAGGTTAATGGAATCCAATACCCGGTTTTCTAATTGAACAATAGAAAGATCTAAAAGACGTTCCTGAAAAAAAGCTCAAAAATAAAGACATTCGTTCAATAAGTGAAAGTTAAGATCAGTAGGATATTGGTCAACATGATTTTGTGCACTGCAAGTGCCCGATATATCCGATATATCAAAAAATCCAATATATCAGTTATATATATAAAAATCTCCGATACATCAAAATCTCGGATACATCTATGCTGCGGAGATTCACAAGAAAATCAAATAGAGATCACTCATTATTTTGTCCATAATCGAGATCACTCATTAGTTTGTCCGTTATCTCATTAACGTCGGCAATCATTTAAGATTGCCCAGAAAATACTGTAGTTTCCACACTTTAAATTTTACCATCGTATACCTCTTGTGTGCTCTTGGGAGCCTTTGAACATAGACATAGATATAGATATTTGCGTTGACCAAACACACGGCTTTCTTTTCATATTGCTTGAATTTGGAGCGAATTTGCTGCACGTAATACTCCAGGAAATTGTACAGTTCGTCAACCCTACCTAAATTAAGCTTTACAAACTGCAGTTTCTTTTAACTTTTTTGGATCTTTCAATGATTTTGTTCCAAATGATTATTAAAATATATGTCTCATACATTTTAATAATCATTTGGAACAAAATCATTGAAAGTTGCTCCATTTCAGTCAAAAGTCCGAAAGCCTCTGCTCTAAGTTTTGCTTTCTGATTGTTGTTAAGATCAAGAAGAGCCTATTACGAAAATATTTTTTAATTAGTATGCACAATCACAAATAAAGTATGTTTTTAAATGATTTTCTAAACATTTCTTAATCACCTTGTTTACAGAATAACCTTTTTTAATCGCTAAACTTGCTTGTAAACCAATGTAGATTCCAGACATATTACTAGCATTGTCGTATGACTGCCCACGGCAGGTTTGAATGTTGATCGCATACTAATATAACTTTTTCAAAACGATTTCAAGCATGGAAATTGCAAAATCGATATGCGTAGGAATTAATGCTAAGAACCGTTTTCCGTTTTGTACACATTGGGAGTAGAATCAACGCTGATTAAGAAATATAAATAAAAAAACTCTTTTTTTTTTTTTAGTGTAAAAAACTTTTGTCATGTTCGGTGTGTCCGTTGGTTAAACTGGCACTGTATCCGCTCAAATAATTAGATCCCACTGCGTTATATTTGCTTCTAAAATAACAACAAAAAAGATAATATTTATCTAACAATGTATAAATTTCCATTTTGCTTCAAAAATTGTGAGTTTTAGATTAATAAGTTTCTAAATTTAACTTTTGTGTTTACAATTTATTAGCAAACTTATTAGTACTCAGTATTTGCTTATTCTTGAAAGGTATACAAATGTCTTGTTCACAAAGAGATCAGAAGAGCGTCATAAGATGTTACTGGTTTACAGTGCTCTGAAAAAAAAAGTATCTATCAATCATATATTATATAAATTATCAATAAAATTAGATAACTTTAATTTGAATTGTAAATTATTTAAAATAATAATAATAAATAAATGAACTGGGTTACAAATAATTATTAAAAAAACTCTGTTTGGGAAAGTTATTTGATTGATTGCTACAATCAAAGTAAATTTCGTGAAGCTTCTAATCTAAGAAAATTTATCAGCTCTGCTAGTTGAACGAAGGATTACTGATAATACCGGTTGATATATAAATGAAAAAAACAAACAAAACAAAAAAAAAAACAAAAACAAGAAAACATTAAAGCTCTATATCAAACCAGCAAAATCATTTCAGTCAGCTTGGGCGGTTTCTCGGTGACAGAACATCACGAGTTTTCCGTTTCTTTATTATGCTATCTTTATTTTTTAACGATATTTTTATTTGAAATTAATTTAAATTAATGTAAGATAACTTTTTATTTTACTTAAATTTAATATAAAGATTGTAATAAAGAGAAGAAGAAGAAAAAAAAGAAGCTGATTCAATAAATACTTCCAAAACAAGCTCAACAAGACAAATTTTAGTTTTGCAAAAAATCATTTACCCTAACAAAACAAAACAAAAAAAAAGGACTAAACGAGCTGTTACAGTGGAAACCCTACTTTCGTAGTCATGACTACGACAAATTAGTTGTACATAAATTAAACTTTATACGCGTCATATTAACTAGAGTAGAGCCTTAACAACCACAGTTTATGCGGTTATATCTTTGTTGAGATAAGTCGTAAAAAATTTGGTTTATGAACGACTTTCGTAGTTATGCCGTTTCATAAAAGGCATTAAAATGTCGCTGAGTCTAGATGGATATTTGATTGTTAGGTCTTTTGACGAGCTTATTTGCATTTTTGATAATATTAGGAATGGGCTGGCTATCGTTGGTGCTATTTATACTACCAGTGCAGTGATTAGGCTTCTAAGGAGAATTATATACATAACAAGAGTATATGCTATCCCAAAGTAAAATTTATATATTTTTTTCGAAATATTTTATTAGGCATATATTTATAATGGCATTATAATGGCATATTAGGCATATTTATAATGGCATTAAATTAGTTTTATATGAACACATTTTAATACATAAAACGTAATAATATTACGTTTTATGTATTAAAATGTGTTCATATAAAACTAATTTAATGCCAGCCGTAAATTTATATTAACTGAAATGATTATGAAAATATTTTATTATGCTGCTAAATATTTATTATGCATGCTCGTTTTCTTCATAAGCTCGCTTTATATGGCCTATCTGGGAAAGTTTTTGAGATTATAAATCATTTCTTTCTAACCTCTTTATTAAAGTCATCCTCGAAAGCCAACATACTAATTCATTTTCAGTAACTGGAATTCTGGGGTACCTCAAGGTTTTATCTTTGGTCCTGTTTTGTTTCTTACCCTTATTAATGAGCTTCCTTACAACCTTGCATCTAGAGTGACTCTATTTGCTGATGACTTATTTTCATACTCCTGTCTTGACATACAAAACTCAGTTATTTACTGCAAACAGCTTTTGTAACACTGCTGACATTACTATATTAATGAATGACAACCCTCTCATTGATTCCTCTTCTTTCTTGGATTATTGTTCACTACTAACCTCTCATGGAAACCATATATACAGTGCTGGAAATAATCTCCGATCAATGATTAGCTATTTTTAGGAAAATTTCAAAAAATCTGTATATACAATCGATCACTAAGTTAGCATCTGCTAAGGTTGCTTCTCTTTACCTTGCTCACCATTTTATTACTCCTGATTCCATTTTCTACCTCTACGAATCAAATATTTTGGATTAATCTGTACCACACAGCTTTTCTAAGACAAACTTTAAATGGTACTAAGATTATTTTAAAGCGTATTAAGAAGTATTTTAAAGCGTATTAAGAAGATCTTCTAAACAAAATAGAGGTTTTAACAATCTTCTGTATGAACAAAAACTTCAGCGCTAAATATGACAAGTGTAAAACACAGAATAATTTGTGGAAATCTAATTAATTTCTTTTAATGGTGCAATAATAATAATCATGATAAAGGTTTATTTGAAATAGATAACCAATTCAATACCCATTGTTATATATTCAAACTAAAAAAACATTCCTCCTAAGTAATTATGCATACAATCTTTTTCTATAAGAATAAATAATAAATGTAACTCTTCCTTCTCTTGATGTTGTAAAAGAACCTTCACTAAAGTTTTATTAATTTGATTATTCATTTCTGATGAGTCTTTATTGATGAAACACAGTGTTAAATGAAAAAAAATTTTGCTAAGTGATTTTCTACTACTTCATATTTGCTCTGTTCTTTTAAGAACATTGAGCACTCTATTTTGTAGAATACATTTTAAAATTGTTTATATATATATATATATATATATATATATATATATATATATATATATATATATATATATATATATATATTATATATATATATATATATATATACATATATATTTATAAATGGGTTCCCATTTCTCCGGATTTGCCCGAAGATCTCTTGATTTTAATGCAAAAAATAGGCCTCCAAGAAAATTCAGAAAAAAACATGAAATCTCCTCATTTTGGAGATTTTTATTTAATTTTTATAAAAATTCCATATTTAATACTTAAATTTTAAGTATATATAGAACTGAAAATGTAAAATCTATTGAATGTAAATTGTTTTTTAGTTATTCTACTAATTTATTGAAAATGCTCAAACAACATGTGTTCTTCTTTCTTCATTACATCATATTGAAAAATATGCGCATTTCCAAACTAGCAAAAATGAAAGTTGCAACCATTAAATTACATTTTAATGTAATTTAACATTTTAATGTAATTTAACCCTAATTAAACCCTAACCCCTTACTCTGAAGCAACCAAAATACTTTATAACCTTAAAGGGTTATAACAAGTTTCCTTATGTTAATCTTATTTATCTAACGCATCTTACAATAAAAAACAACCCTGTGGACACTCGACGTTGTTTCAACGTTGAAATAATGTTGATCAACATTAATTTAATGTTGTTTCAACGTTATATGACAATAGGGAAGTTAAAATTAAGCAAGCTGCATAACCTTTGGCCTGTTATTAGTCCCAATACTAAGTGTTAAAAGTTTTCAGTTGGATGAAACTTGAGAGTATCCTTATTTGGGATCAAGTTAAAGACTCAATTTTATTTGTAAATGTAAAAGCCTTTTTTTATGTTAACAAATCTTCGTGTCATGACTAGTTTTCTAACTTATGAGTTCAATAAATAATTTTCATCAAACAAAGCTCATCGAAAAAGATGGGTTCAACAAAGAAGCATAGTTAGCATGATTCATTTTTCCCCGTTCATAACCCTTGCTCTGTTACAACCAAATGATTGGTCAATGACAGCGAAATTGATAACTGATGTGAGTGATTAGTTAGATACAAGTAAATAATGGTTACAAGATGACAATAGAAACAAGTTATAAAATGGAGATTGAATTTGTGGCTTGCATTTATATAGTTTTTATATTTCGTATATTTTTTAAAATGATATATTTCAATAAAGAATAACTATATTAAAATATACCGATTTAATAAACTTAATTCATCAAGACTTTAATGTGAACGTTTTGCAATTAATTAGGTTAATTTTATTTGCAAAACCAGCAATTTGCACTAAAAAAATAAATGGCATTCAAAAAATAAGGGTTTTTATTCAATTCTCTTAAAAGGGGTCCACTCTGGTACTAATTTGCTAAATAATGGGGACTCCCCATTCATTTAACACAGATTGTAAAACCTCCTCTTTTTCAATGATTACCATATGGCAACCCTATATATATATATATATATATATATATAATATATATATATATATATATATATATATATATATATATATATATATATATATATATATACATATATATATATATATATATATATATATATATATATATATATATATATATATATATATATATATATATATATATATATATATATATTAGTAGAAAATCACTTGTCAAACTCTTTACATTAGGACTCATCAGAAATCAGATTTCTGTATGTATTTATATGTATGTTAGGGTGTCCCATCGCCTCCTATTTTCTATAAAAGGTTTGTTATATTCTTAAAACATTTTATTGGTTCTCAAAAGCAGCTCTTTTTTTTTACATTCTAAAAAAAAGTTTCAAAATTTTAGGGGAGCACGAGATCCTTGAACACTTACTTGGTCCCTAATATTATTAAAAAAAAAAGAAACAAAATTGTATAGAAGTTTCAAAAGTATTAATCATTTTATTTAAAAATTATTATTGCAATCTTTGTTCTTATTTCAAAAACAAAAATCAAAATTATTATTTCAAAAATAACAATCATTTTATAAAATTGGTTGTTATTTTTGAAACTTTTATAAACTTTACTTCTTTTCTTTTTAATATACAAACTCTAAGATCTTTAATTGAATAAAGTATAACCTTTTGAATTAATATGTTTTAATAAGGCATTTTCAAGATTTAAGAATAAATTTTATAAATTCTCTTTTCATTTTTTTTGCCTCATTCATTGTTATGTTTTCTCAGTTATCTAGACACATGGCTGTATTTTTGTGTTCACTGGTTACGTAAAATTTTATTAATTTTTTTTAAGTTAAATTTGTAATACTTGTTTTCTAATGGTTGTTTTATTTTGTTTTATAAATAATGAAGAAAATTAAAAGTCTTCAAAAACTTTATAAAAATTAAAGGTCATTAGAAACTTATTTATGAGTTAGCCACACCAGTAAATATGTGAATATATTAACTTATTATAAATATGCCTAATATTTTATTTACATATATAGTTAGCTGATTAAATTAGCTGATTATAATTGGCATTTAAGAGTACTTTTGAAATTAGTGAGTTTTTAAAACTTTACAAGTTTTTTTATTACAAGTTATATATATATATATATATATATATATATATATATATATATATATATATATATATATATATATATATATATATATATATATATATATATATATATATATATATATTTATATCTTTGTATTAGGTTATTTTATTCTTCTGATTTGTCTTTAAAATATGGTGGAAAATGGGCAGTTGTTACAGGCGCATCAGAAGGCATCGGTCGATCGTATGCTAGAAAGTTAGCCCAACGAAAGTTAAATGTTCTTCTTATATGTAAAAACACAGATAAACTTCTTCTAGTTGCTGAAGAAATCAGCTTAGACTATAACGTGCAAACAAAATGTATATCCATGGAGTTAGTTAACCTTTCAGAAGACAGCTTTTACAGTTTTGTGGAAAACACGCTCAATGAAATTGACGTTGGAATACTCGTAAACAATGTCGGAACAAACGACATAAACCTATTTGCGTGTTATGGAAGAAAACCACATCAACAGCTCATAGATATTAACATCAAATCAATCGTTTTATTGACACATATAGTTCTGCCTCAAATGGTAAAAAGAAAAGCAGGGGCAATTGTGAATATATTTTCTTTAATCTCAAATCTTCCTTTTCCGTATTTGACTTTATATTTTGCATCAAAGTCTTTTATAGATTCTTTTTCTAAGTTACTTCAAATTGAAAATGCATGTCATAACATCTATATACAATCCCTCCAACCTGGTTTTAAATGTTCTTTGCCATTGCAAAACTCTAGATTAAGTAGATTTTTTGTTGTAGATCCTGATACATTCTGTGAGTCTGCTATTAAAACGCTTGGGACAACGCATAGCACTCATGGTTATTGGAAATACGGGGCAATGGAGTATTTAAATGATTTTTTTGGTGTTTTTTAAATGAACTAAGAATATAATTACGACTAAGATATCGTCGCTGAAAAAAATAAAATTTTAATTGAAAAAATTATTTATCTTTAAATTAAATTTGAATAATATATGTAAAACATAAAGTTTCTTTGAATAATGAATGTAAATTATTTATTTTGTTTTAAAGAAAGTGTTTTATTTAATTTTATTATTACTATTATTATTGCTTGCACATGAAGAGATTAAACAAGAGTCTTCGCCAAAAATTTATCGACAGGGTTAAAATTTTATCAAAATATATTTTTTTCATTAAAGTTTATCACCATTTAAATTTTAAAATTCTTCCCTCATTTTTGTAAAGTAAGAATATCCTCGTGAAATAAGATTAAATTATCATAACATTAAAAAAAAAACACAGGGTTTTTCGTTGAAATTTTGATAACTTTTAATAAAATTATAAATGGATTAATTTTTAAATCAAAAATTTTTAAATCAAAATAGATTGAATGAAGATTTTTCGGTTACACACCTTAGTATATATTTTTTTGTAAACGCTTAAATCTTTAAAATTTTTGCGCTATTTTATTTGCTCAATTTTATGCAACAAGTTATTCAATGGCATTATATAAGCAGCCGTAGCGCAGCGTTTAGCGCGCTTGTCTCAGAAGCTAGAGATCCGTTGTTCGACGCTACCTCTGGGCATGTTAAGGAAGGAAGGAGGCGTGAACTTGAATTCAAATGCTCTTCCGCGGTAAAGAAGGGAGCTTTCGTCCGATCTTTCCAAAATGAAGTTATTTTAACATTCAGATTCTTTATTAAAAAAGGGTACAACTATGTAAGTATGAATAAAAATTGTTCGTCATTTATATTTACTATTACAAAATTATTGAGATTCAGCAAATAATCCGTCTGAAAATTAGTTTTTTTATTATTATTATTATTTTTCAAATAATTTATCTTTAATTTATATTAAGAAATGTTTTAATATAAAAACGGAATTCAAATGGTAAAAGATACCGCAACTTTTAAAACAGGGTGTCTGCCAGATCAAGGGAAAAGATATCTGCAAACAAATGGGTTGAATTAAGGGAAAATGGCTCTTCATCAATCATACATAACTAACATCAAACTTATGTTAGTCATATATTGAACACATATAATAAAATTTTTATTGGCAGATGGTTTTATGAACTTCCCCCTGATACTTTGAATTAGCATTGCATTGATGTTTATATATTTTCAATTAAAGAGCGTTTTTCTAAAAAATATCTATTTTTTATGAAGTTGGATTTTGGTAATTTTAATTTAATTCAGGGAAAACAGGTAGTAGATAAGGGAAATCCGTCTGAAAATATCAGCAGACACCCTACAAAATTGTTTAAATTTTGTAGGGTGTCTCAAATCTCAAAATCTCACATAAATTTCCCATTTATACAAGTACACAGATAAAATGCGGACAATTTTAACAGGTAAAACGCGAGAATAAAGTGCGAAAAACTTCTAAACATATTGCTAGCAAAACCTCAGTAGATGTAGCAGCACTCCTTTGCATATTCTAAATCTTAAATCAGTCGATCAGTCACTTTACCCGTTTAAAATTTACGCAAGTTTAACATGGTTTTAGGCAATTGCCTAAAACCATGTTAAACTTAAACTTAATAATAACAACCAAAAAATTAAACCCATGTAATAACATAAAATATTTTTTTAAAACTATTTTTGTTAATATTGAGCAACATATCTCAGCCTTAAAGGTTTTCTTAGAGAAAATGCTTTTAACTATGACTTTTAGGATTTGGAGGTTGCTTGTGGGAACAAAATTATGCGATAAACTTTATTAAAAATTAAATACTATTTATTTATACATATTGTTTTGTTTTATTTTTTATTAAATTTCTAAAACAAATTCCATGGTGGCTTATTAAAATTAATAAGTAGGAGCAGATGTTTTATTTCTATATTTAAATTATAAAAAATAAAGAAAGAACTTGTTTTATAGCTGCTGAGTTCATATTTATGTGTTGCAATGTTGTTATATATATTTGTATGTGTATTTGCAAACAAATACACATACAAATATATATTTACATACTATTTTTTGTTTTTCTATATAACCATTGACTATATGACAATTTAAACTAGACTTGGCAATAAGATTTTCTTTTCTTCCTGCTTCAGCTTAAAGTTATATATACAATATGTATTTATTGTAAAAGTAATGATACAGCATATATATATATATATATATATATATATATATATATATATATATATATATATATATATATATATATATATATATATATATATATATATACATATATATATACATATATTTAAAGCTATGTATGCCAGAAGAGATAGCATTGTTAGAAGTGACGAAAGATCGGTTAATAACATAAAATCAATCTTAGATTTAAAACCAAGAAATAAACAAATTATAAACTATTGCAAAAGTCTTATTAATGTTAGGATATTTGGACAAAATGAAACTGACAATCCATCTGAAAACAGCTCACAAGAAAATGAACTTACTTTATCGTATTTTATACAATCAGCGGATGCTTTCTTACGATCTTTCGGAAACAACATGGAAATCACTGGACACGAAGAAGAATTCATTTACTACATGCAAGGTTTATTAGAATTAAGAGGACTGAAAAATCCGCAACGATTTGTAACCGATGTTAAAAAATTCTTAGAAATATACAAAAAGAGAGGATGTAAGAAAAAAATCAGATTTCCGATTTTAGTTATTGTAATATATAGTATGTAATAAAATATCAATAAGAGTTAAAATAATCTTATTAATTTTTACAGTCTTTCAGGGTGTAAAAATTCGAGTTGTAACTTTTATTTTTAGGTCCATCTGATCGTTTAAACCATTTAGATTACTGGGGATCTCGGCAACAGCTTCTTGCAGGAAAAGTAATATCTGACTTTGTTGGTGAAGATTATGGACCTCTTGACCCAGTATTTGGAGTTCTGTTGTGCCCAGTTGCAGGTAACTAAGTTACTAAATTTTTTTTTTATTTATCAACGTGTAAATAGTGATGGATCCAGGAATTTTTGGTGGTGGTGGTGGTGGTTGGGTAGGAGGGATTGTTAAAATATTTTTTCTTTTGTACCATATTTGCGTCTCCTAAAAAAATAAGTCCTTAATTTCAGAGATATTTTAGAACGTAAAGATTCTGGTGGGGCGGGATGCATAACTCGCTAACGCATTTTACTACCGGAATGTCTAACTATACACCCAGAAAACAATATAGAACACAAAATTTTGCATGAAAAAAACAATGATAAGAAGGAAAAAACCATATATTTTCACACTTTCCTGACAGAAGGCAATAGTATGTCAAGCATAAAAAAAAATTTTAAAAGTTCAGATTATCTTGTACAGCACTACCATTTAGAAGCTGATTTTAAAAATAATCGTGTTGTTCAAAATACTTAAAACGGATACAGGCTAAACAAAACAAATACATGCTAAACAAAATGAGTGGAACAAGTGTTAAAGTATATTTTTTCTAGAAGTTTTATTTATTTTATTATTTATTATTTACTATACTTAAAGATAACAAATAATTTAGAATTTAAAACAAAAACAAAATTACAAAATATTTAAATTCCGTTTTAAATAAATATAAAGATACGTTTTGCACTTTTAAGATATATTTATCACTAGTAAATAACTTTTATCATTTTTAATTTTAAATTTTCAAATGTATACATTACCGGTATTAAACCGGTGTACAAATGTATACACTACATATATTTGATTGTCTTGGCTACTTCTTGTAAAGGAGAACATTTCTTTTTAACAATAAAACGAGTAAAAAATTATTCAAAAACAACTATGGGACAAGAAATCCTAACAAATCTGGCTCTTTTCTAATTGTAGATCATTGTTGTTAATATTACAAAAATACAATAAAATGCAAGAGAACTTTCAGGTTACATAAACATTATGGTCAAGAAAATATATCCAAGGATATATAGATATTTGTTCCGCACTTATTGAATTCAATGATGGCAAACCTGATTTAAGAGCAATTTATACGGAGAGATACTTTATAGCAATTTATACAGATACTATAAAGAACATTCTTAAAAAGTCATTAATCAAAGGCATAAACATGATAAAAAAATTAAAACTATTAAATTCCAGGATAAAGATAAAGAGAATGAAATAATGTCTTCTTATTTTGGAGACGTAACACTTTAAGTATAAAATTTTTAAGTAATTAAGCTTTTATAAAAAATTTGAACTTGCTTTCATAAAAATTTTGTACTTGCTTTCATAAAAAATCTGTACTTATCTTTTCTAATATTTAATTTTATTACAAAGAAAGTTTAACTTAACTACTCTGAAAAAACATAGCAACTTGTTTAAAAATCATTGCAATGTCTGTTTATGTCATCTGTTTTTGAAAAGACGTAACTATTAGAAACCATTTAAAATTTGATACAATAAAATTACTTTATTTTGCGTGTCGTAGACATTCCTCTACAAATTAAAAAAAGGTATTCTTTTTAAAAATTTATGTAATATTTAGTTAAATTCTTGAAGTGTGTAATACATTGATGACTAGTTCTATCCCTTTAACTTTATACTATCAAGCACAACAACACATGCTTTTTTTTATTAGGAAGAGTGGGTCCTGGTGATAGTGGTATTGTTCACGAACTACTTTTTGACGATGATGGACCTATGGCTTATCATTCTGCCGTACATGACGCTTTTGGATATTTGATTTCATATCATAAAATTGGTCCGGGTTACAACTATACTTGCGCAGGAGCTATTCTAGAAAGCTCTTCCTGTGTGTCAGGTCAATTTTCGGGGTTAAACTTTTGGAGAGACGTCTTAAAAAAAGAAAAGGAAAAAATAATTGAAGTCATACTGTGATAATGTATAAATAGTTAAGTTTACAAGCATAAATGGTTTAAGTTAGATACATTACATTTTCATTAAGTTAGATACATTTAACCAACTTGTAGTTAATCTCTGTGAGTCAGTTAACTTGTAAGTAATCTCTGTTAGTCAAATTCAACCAAATAAAAAACAAAGTTTTAATTTACAAAAAGTGTTTTATTTGTAAAGTGTAACATTTGTAAAAAAATATTATTTTAACTCAAGCTAAATAAATCAATTAAGTTGTTAACCCTTAGCTGTGAACCCTTAATTGTTAGCATAATAAACTAATTACTAAATATTTTGGATACAACATAGAATAAAAGCTTGAAAAAAATTATAAATTTTTTAATTTTTATACTAAAATATGACATTAAAAATTATTTTTGTAATTATATTTTGTTATGGAAATACACGTTGTTAATAACAGCAATGTAATTTTAAATTTGAAATTTAGATTTTTAGATTTTAATAGCTTTAATAAAGATAACATATATATGCATATATATATATATATATATATATATATATATATATATATATATATATATATATATATATATATATATATATATATATATATATATATATATATATATATATATATATATATATATATGCATATTTATATATATATATATGCATATATATATATATATATATATATATATATATATATATATGCATATATATATATATATATACATATATATATATATATATATATATATATATATATATATATATATATATATATATATATATATATATATATATATATATATATATATATATATATATATACTGGGTGATAGCCCCCCACCTTAACTAAAACACTGGGGGGGGGGAGGACACTGCATTTAGCCCCCCCCACCCCTCCCTCCCTCTATTTTCTTAACAGTTTTAAAAAAACTTTAATGATAGCAACAGCGGAGTTATCATTTTTCAGCCTGCAATGATTCACAATTAAATATCACTATGTAAAAGTATACCCATAAAACTGTTTAAAATACTATCGCTACTACTAATGTGTGCTGACAAAAGATGACTAATCATGTTAAAAAGATGATTAATCACGCTGCGTGTGATAAATAGTTGAATAAATAGATCATTTTTATCTATTTTGCTGCATTATACAAAATTGAGGAACTTTTTCTTTTTTTAACATATGTTTTCAGCCCTTCACCCAACTTTCGCGACCTTCCTACGCCACTGTATATATTTATATATATATATATATATATATATATATATATATATATATATATATATATATATATATATATATATATATATATATATATATATATATATATATACACAAATATAGATTGTACATATGTAATAACAGAAAATAAAGTGTCAAAAGACTTGTTTAAAAGTACAAACATTTATCTATCAAATTGGAAAAAAAAAACTATTATTGTGTACCTTAATAATATACAAAACATAAAAAAAAAAAAAAAAAAAGGATGTTTCAAAATTGGAGGGTAGCCATCGTATTGAAAGAAGCTATAGGTAAAAAAAGTACTTATCTTAATGGTTTACCGAAAAAAATTATAAATGATTGTGAAATTACTAACAAGTCTATAATTGCTAATTCGTTTAACTATGCATTTGTCAGCACAGGCCCAAGATTGGCATCAAATATAAAAAAAAGTAAAAACTGGTTCGATACGTTCCTAAACCCTAATAATAATATGATGGATAATAATATACTAACAGAAGCTGAATTATTTGAGGCCGCATACTTACTTAAACCAAATAAAGGTTTCGGAGTTGACGATGTAAGCCGTAATGTAGTAATTAAATCAATGCTATATTTAAAAATCCCCCTTTTGCATATATTTAGTTTCTCTTTAGAACAAAGAATCTTCCCTGATAGAGTTAAAGTTGCAAGAGTAATGCTAGTATTGAAATCAAGAGACGAGGCTAATATCACCAATTACAGACCTATCTCCATACTATCATGCTTTTCAAAATTACTAGATCACATTATGTATAAAAGATGGTATTACTTTTTAGCTGCAAATAATACTCTTTATAATAAGCAATTTGGATTTAAAAAGAGTAAGTCTACTGATCAGGCATTTGTTCATCTTGTTCAAAATATATTTAAATTGTTTAATGAAAATCTCAGTAAGGCTTTCGAAACTGTCGATCATTTCATTTTATTAAAAAAATTAGAAAACTATGGTGTAAAAAATATAAACATTTTATGATTTAGAAGCTATATGACAAATAGATTGCAATACATTTCTTACAATGATGGTAAAACAACCGATATGAATATAATGTGTAGGGTCCCTTAAGGTTCTATATTGGAGTCATTCTTATTTATCATCTATATCAATGAATTAAGTAAAGCATGCAGTGAACTAGATACAACTTTATTTACAGATGATACAAACCTATTCTATCCACATAATGATATAAACATTCTGTTCAAATCTGTAAACAAAGAGCTAATAAATCTTACTGAATAGTTCAGTGCAAATAAATTATCACTAAATATAACCAAGACGAAATATACTTTTTTCCATCGTTTTTATGATCGAGATAATATTCCTTCAAAACTTCCAAAATTCTGTATTGACAATCAAAATGTAAAAAGAAAAATTAATTTGAAATTTCTCGGTGTTCTGCTTGATGAAAATGCGACGTGAAGAGATTACATACATTATCTCTAGTAAAGTAAAATCTCTAAAAACAGTGGTCTGATTTGTAGAACAAAACCTTTTTTAAATCTTTTAATTTTTTAAATTTATATTGTTTAAAATTTTTATATTTCTCTTTCATTCATTGTCATCTAAATTATGCAAACATTGCTTGGTGCAGTACAAATAAAAATAAAATTAAAAAACTTTTTAACAAACAAAATCATGCAATCAGAATCATATCCAATGTTTGACGTTTTACACATTCCCAAGCATTGTTTAGCTAAATATAATGAATATCTACCATTGTTAAGCTAAATATAATGGATATCTACCAAATAAACATCTATCATCTTCTTATATTTATGTTCAAAATAAATAAAAATTTATCTCTTAAAATATTTAACCCGCAATTCAAAATAAATCAGAGCAGATACTTAAACAGCTACCATCAGCCCACAAATTATTTTGCGGCAACTAAATTTTCAATTTCTACTAGAGGACCAAAAGTGTGGAATAAAATACTAACTAATGATCTTAAAACAATTGCAACGCTTAATGACTAAATTGAAGCAAAGACTATTGATGAACAACGTAACGCGTGGTTTCTTCTAATGTATATGTAAAGGTCTATACTGGTTTAAAAGAAAAGTTTCAGGATTATGAGTATTTGCGTGCATACTTTTCAAGTATATAATTTTTTGCTATACTATAGTATTTGCTTTTACTTTAGTATTTAACTTTTGTCCTTTTGTTATATTAATATAAGAAAAAAAGTAGATTTTTATAGTTAGAGAGCGCCCCTCTCTAACTATAAAAATCTACTTTTTTTCAGGGATTATCAATTTTATCTTTTTGTTTGTTTGTTTCTTATAAATGTAAAAAGTCTATTTAACAATATTTTATATATTGTAGTGCTGTAGTTTTACGATTTTTATATTTTATTATTGTGTATTACGGTATAGATTACGGGGCTTGGCGATAAGACAAATGTCTTCTTCTTGCCCCTGCTGTTTGTATTTACATATGTTTTAAGTTATGAATAAATTAATGTGGCAAAAAAATATATATATAGTAGCCACATAGTTAAGCCAAGATTTTACCTTTTTTTACCAGCGTGACATAAATGTAATATATAATAATTTAGCATTGGACTGTGCTCAACACATTTAATATAAAAATCGCCTTTAAAAATTTCCTCTGATATATAAGGAATGGGAATGCAAATGTAACTATTTTAAAATATAAACATTCGCTTTTTACTAATGAAAGTTAACACTTTAAAAACACTTTTTTCAAATCTTTGATCTTTTTATTGGAATTAAATGAATTACTATTATGTTTTTGTGTATTTTATTAAATGTATTATTATTCATATAAATAAGTCGTTCATTTCTTATATATGAATGGATTAGGTTGTCCGGAACCACTCTCTAAACTTGTGTCCGATACCACCCGATCATATCTCATTCACAAATACTAGCTTTAAAACCAGTAAATTAAAGAATTTAACACACTTTTTTTTAACTAATACTGTAAATAAAAATGTATATTTAATCAATAAAAGTTATTAGTTTTCATAAAAATTAAGTATATTAATATGTCATTCAAATATAATGATATATTGCTCTTCTAGTGGTGAGAAACAATATCTTGCAGTTCCAGCCAATCGCTTCGCCATATTATGATAGATATTTTACATATATCATATTTTTACTCAATTAATGCTTTTATAGAATTTAAAATCACATACAGTATCGGACAAAACATGGTGGACAAATTCAAATTTAAAACAAAAGTTGATCAAAAACTTAAAAAAAATAATAAAACAATTGTACATATTAATTTTTAAGTAGTTTACTATGTTGTTAACAAAATTTAAAACTTTTGAATCATATTAAAAATCAACAAAAAAAGTTTAATAACACATTTTCCTTAACAAACTACATTTGTTAAGGAAAACAAAGTGGGCATTCATAACAAAGTGAACATTCAAAAAATCGACTGAAAATCCAAAAAAAATTCAAAAATTAACTTATTATTTTTCAAAAAACTTCAAAAATTAATTTAATATTTGGTTGGACCTCCATTACCTTCAATTACTGCTTTCATTCTTCGAGGCATAGACTTAATTAATGAGTCAACAATTCTCATGTCAATCGCTCGCCAGGCCTTCTCGATTTGTTTAAATAATTCCTCACTGGTCTTTATATTTCCACGCTTAATCTTATTGTCAATTATTTCCCAGAAATTTTCTATGGGATTCAAGTCAGGCCTTTGTGCAGGCCACTCCATTACGATGATATTCTTGTTCTTGAACCATTGTTTTACAATTTTTGATGTATGTTTGGGGTCATTGTTCTGTTGAAAAATCCATTTTAGGG